TCGATCCAGCAGAATGCAGACATTATCGAGTAATACCATTAGTACCCAGTGCAAGTAAAGTTTTGCTGAAAATAATTCAACAATGGTGGCAGCAGCCCATTGATGGGGAGCTGCCAGAAATTCAAGCGGAGTTCAGCAGTAGGTGTGGCACGAGGGAGGTCCCTGCTGACATCGGATGGGTCTTAGCTGAAAGCAGAAAGCACCAGACGGATGCTTGCTTGTGCTTCATTGACTGTGCCGAGGCTCCGACTGTGTGGACCGTAACAAACACTGTGAAGCATGGGAATGCCGGACACCTAAGTGTGCTCACGCAGAACCTGCACATGGACCCAACAGGCAGACATTTGGACAGAAGAAGGGAGGACCCAGTAATTTAAAATCAGGCAAGGTGTGTATTGGGGCTGTATCCTTCCACCATACTGATGCAATATGTATGCTGAGCAAATACTCGGAGCGTCTGGATTATAGGAAGACGAACTTGGGATCGAGAATGAGGTTTATTAACAACCTGTGATCTGCAGATATCACAACCTTGGTGGCTGAAAGAGCAGGACTTGAAGCCCTTGCTGGATGACAACCCAAATCTTTGCAACTGGACCGATATTTAACATCATGATCAACGAAGACGGGTTGAAGCCAAAGAGTTCATTTTGCTCGCATCCACAGTCAGCGCTCATGGAAGCAGCAGGCAAGAAGTCCAGTGACAGATGGTCTTGGATAAATCCGCTGCACCAGACCTGTTGGAAACGCGGAGGAGCAAAGCTGCCACTCTGAGGACGCAGGTGCTCCCGACTCAAGTCAGGGTCGCCCCCATCGCGTCCCACGCATGTGAATGTTGGACCACGAGTACGGGACACTGTAGGACGACCAATGCCTTTGAATCTGGTGTTGGCCAGGGACACTGGGAGTAAGGATGGTGGAGCCTTTGTCTCCCACACATTAGACACGTCCTCAGGAGGGCCCAGGGAAGGGATAGTATGTTTGGTAAAATGAAGAGTCAGCAAAAAAGAGGAAGCCCTTCAACAAGATAGATGGGCACAGTGGCTGTAACCCTGGCTGGAGCGCAGGCAGAGTTGTGAGGAGGGCCCAGGCCCAGGCAGTGTTGGGTTCTGCTGGACGCTGGGTCACCAGGAGTTAGAACCCACAGGACAGCACCCAACAACTCCAGTGAGTTGCATCTTAAAAGCTCGGGGGCAGACCTCTACAATGCAAGTGTGGGTCTCTCCAGAGCTGAAAAAAAGATGAGAGAAGACCATCAAAGACAGCCCCCGACTCATGGGCCATGTGAACCACTCCTCTGCTACCCTGAGATTAGGACGAGATGGTGCCTGGTTGCTCCTACTGACTGCTCTGATCTGTATCACAATAGAAGGTTCTGGAGAGAGAGAGAGAGAGAGAGAGAGAGAGAGAGAGAGAGAGAGAGAGAGAGAGAGAGAGAGAGAGAGAGAGAGAGACTAATGGAGACTGGTGGAATCCCCAAGACTATCGGCCTTAGACACCTCTTAAGGCTGGAACAGAATCTACCCCATGGGATCAGTTTTCAGCCCAAACTATAAAGTGGAGGGTTAGCACCTGCGAGAAGTAAACTCCACTGTACAATTAACCTCACGCAACCAAAGGAGCAGCACTTGCCCCGAGCAAAGCCCGGAGGCAGGAAAGGGCAGGGAGAACAGATGGAAACAGGGTGGGGTGTGGGTGAGGGAGAAAGAGGGGTGAGCACTGTCATGTCGAGGGCCTTGCAGTCTCATGAAACAAAACATGTAGAAATCATGGAATGGAAAACTATACACGTTGTACGGTTCCACCCAAACCACCATAGAAAGTAAAACAAAAAAGAATCCAGCAAACTGCAAAGACAAGTGTAAAGAAGAATATGCCTGGGAAAATGATAATCAGACGCTGGAAACCCAGGTGGGACACCCTGGAAGCAGTCAGCTAAAAGGCATATTGCAGTCAAGGGGACAGCACCACAAAGGAGCGCGGAGACCGGGCGGGGATGATTGAGCAGCACAACATCTTTAAAGAAGAGCTCAGCTCAACTCCCAGTGCAAAAACCCGAGATCCTGAAAAACTAGCCCTAAAAATGAGGCTGAAACAGCGATGTTTTCAGATGCTTTTTTTTAAGCAAGAAAAGGAACAACGCCCAAGAGAACTTATCACCAGCAGGTCCGTCGTAGATGATATGTTGAAGACTCTTCTGGTTGAAAAGAAATAACAACTGACCCCCCCCCCAAAAGCAACCTCCCGCATGGAGAAAAGCCACCGCAAAAGAAGTCTACGTTGACGTTTTAAAAAGCAGATTCCTGGATCACTCAAGGACGCTTGACCCAAGCCTTGGTCTTGACCATCACCTCTAAGCTGGCCATAGAGAAAGGGAGACAGAAGGAGTGATGTGTTTTTCAGTGGCTCTGCTGTCCACGAGGTCCGACTGTGCCGTGGACTGCCAGGAGAACAAAGGAATCAGACTCGGAAGAAGCGGGACCAGGATGCTCCTTGAAGCATTGGCTTGCTTTCTTTGGGCATGTCAGGAGGGAAGACTAATCACTAAAACAGGACGTCGGCCTCAGTGAGCGGGATTGACATCAGGGCCGTGCGCGCGGGCCCCAGCGGATTGCCACATCTTAGTCCTGTGGAGCAGCCGGTGGGTTCTAACCACTGACTCTGGGTCAGGAGCTGAACGCTTAAAGGTCAAATCACCAGGACGCCTTCAAAATATACAGCTTGGAGCAACTAACTTTACTAACACTTGCAGAATGCCACCCTCAGCAGAGAAAGAAGCATCACCGTTTTAAGTGCCCGTGGAATATGTATTAAGGTAGACCATATATTGGCTAATGAATGTTTCAATAAATTTCAAAATATTGAAGACGTCCAGGGCTTTTTTTTAAATGAACACAATAGAATTAAATTAGAAATCAATTTTAAAAGATATCTAGAAAACCTCCCTAATATTTGGAAATTAAGCAACCCATCTCTGCGTAACACATGGGGGGTGGGGGAGAGATGTGAAATAAAAGAGAGGATTAAGATACTTGAAACTAAATTAGAGTGAAATTCATCATGCCTAAATTTTTGAGATGCAATTTAGAGAGACATTTATAGATCTCAGACGATATTGGAAAAGAGGGGGGAAATGAAACATTAATAAGTTGCCACTTTAAGGAGGTAGGAAAAGCAGAAATCAATGAATAAAGAACAAGCAACAGGTAAAATTAACAGAGTCAAAACCTGATTTTTTGATAAACCTAATACGTTGTTCGAGTCCTGGCAAGTACTTTCTACCCCAGACCCCAGCAAGATTCTTGATCAGCAGCTCGTTGGGAGGGGCCAGTTCTGACGCAGGGCGACCTATGAACGACGGAGCACGACGATGCCCGGCCTTGTGCCACCCTCGCCATCATTGTCATCTTTGAGTCATTCTTGCAGACACTGTGCCTACCCATCGCAGTGAGGGTATTCTTGACTTTACCACACATGCTCTCCCTCTTTAGGGGCCGGAGTTTCACCGACACAGACAAGGGAAGGGGGTGGGGGTGGGGGGATAAGAGGGGAGCCAGAAGGGAGAGGACAGGAATGGGAGGGGAGGAGGAGGGGGAGAAAACACACAACACCTGACACCTGCATGCTCCTCCTTTAAGGGCAGCCGCGACGACCATTCTGGGACATGGACTTCAAACTTCCTGGCATTTGACCGTGGTGTCCCAGCTGGACACAGGGATCTGCAGATTCCCAGATTACCTCTGAATGGTCCAGAAGACGGTGATGTATAGAGAGGTGGCGTTAGAGAGTTCCTGGACCATAGCTGCCCGGTTGGCTGGGCTGATGCCCCACAGCAGGCTGGCATGACTTTTGATCTTGGTGAGAGTGATGTCCTCGGGTCTGTAGTTCACCAGGAACTGCATGGCTGGCTGGGGGCAGATGGGAGGAGGAGACACGCCTGTATCTCTCTGCCTGGACCCATCCTTCAACTTTGGCACCAGTGAGGGGACCTCGTTTCCCCCCATGTCATTCTCAACCGTAGTGTGATCGCACCAGGGAGGGGCCCAGGAGGAGGTGAGGAACCACCAGGAAAGGGCGTGTGGTGGCTTCTCTGGGTCTGGGATGCACTCACCGGGTGGAGAGCGTATTGATGGGTCAGCTGGTCATAAGCTGTGTCCGAGAAAGGGACCAGGTTCTGCTGCTGAGAACTCATGGAGAACAGGGGCTGGGGGCACAGCAGGAGGGGGAGGTGAGCTTCAGAAAGCTGGGTTCCTGCTGAAGGGGAAGTGGAGGGCCCCAGAGGGCTTCTGGGCTCTCTGGGGCAAGGAGCATCAGCATAAAGCCCCTCAGATGGCCTGAGATGGGCTCTGGAACCGGAGGGGTGGGGGGCACATGGAAGAGAAGGAACAGCCAGAACAAAGGCACAGAGGCTGTCTGGTCTCAGCTTGCACCCACGTCTAGGATCACCGCTGACAAGTGGGCACAAGCCCCCCCACCATGCTGACCACAGAGTCACACCCGGCCATCGTCCACTCCAGCTACCTCATAGCCATTGATGGCGATCTTGACAGACACGTCCAGGGGCTGGTTGGTCACGCCGCCCACCGTCTTCAGCAGGGACATGAAGACCAGGGGGAACCACATGAGGGAAACCAGAGTAAACATGATGACGCCCCCCACGCCGTACTTCACCACCTCCTTCTTCTTCTGCCCGGGTGGCTCGGGGTATTTCTGTGGAAGAGGAGCGGGCATGTGAGGGCCGCAGTCTGGAGCCAGACAGACATGGGCTCAAAGGGGCAGCGGTGGCGAATGACCCTTAGATGTTAGGGGAAGGGGGACTTGTCGATACTGTTTGGTGAAGGGGGTGGATTCTGGACGTGCCCGGGGGTTATAAGCCCCTGGGGTCAGGGGCGTCCGATTCTAAGCTGAATCCCTGTCACCACCCTGTTTCTGCTTCCTCCTCTGTCAAATAAGGATTAAATGCTTCCTGCTTCACCAGGTGGGTGTGAGGGCTCCTGGGGCAGATGGCAGCTGCCATGGTTGGAGGACTCGATGATAAACTTCTCAAAGCAGAGGGCAAGCTGTCAGCTAAGCACCTGGCTGACCTCACAGGGCAAGCAAGCAGCTGCTCCAGAGAGATGGGGTTGGAGATAAGACACGGGGCCCCTCGGCGCCAGCGCAGGCCCACCTTCTCGGACTCCCGCCAGCACTTCAGGATGAAGATGTCCGCGTAGAGGTCCTCCAGGCAGATCCAGTTGGACAGGCTGAGAGCCGTGTCGGTCCACACCCAGTCGATGACAGCCCGAAGCTCCAGGAGGAAGGGCACCGAGCGGAACCTGGGTGCCGAGAGGACCACCAGGAGCTCCAGGCACGGGGCTGGCCAGAGTGTGGTCCTCCCACCACCCATCCTGGGGGCCCAGCTCACCCGGGCCTTTCTCCCGCCTGTCCAGCCAGCCCACAATCCGTACCCTCAATCTACCCCACCCCAACCAGCCCAGTGACACCACACTCTCACCACAGCACCTGCGCCAGCGATCTGAGGGACCCCCCGCCACCCTACCATCGAGGTCTCTCACCACCCCACCCCTTGATGCCAACCACCCCACTGGTCCCATCACCCCAACCACTCCCGCCATCTGATGTCTGCACCCAGCCCACCGTCTGCACCCACTCATGATCCCACCCCTTCCACCCCAATCATATCCCCACGACCATTCCCCCAACCTCTCCCGCCATCTGCTCTGCCCCCACCACCTCCTCTACCCCCTATTCCCACCCATCCCATCATCCGATACTGTTCATTCTCCCTCCCGCCAGTCCTACCCCCTATCGAGTCCCCATCCCCATCCGCCCCCTGCTGAATACTAAAGACATGGGGACAAACCAGAGGAGTGGAACCTTCACGTGGGGAGACACTGGCATTAAATAGGCGACATTTGCAGAGTGCGGGAGGGACGTGCTGTACAGGGAGTGAGCAGGTGGTGAGGGACACTTCACACTGGGGGGCCAGGGAAGGGGGTAGGGGGTGGCCAAGCCATTCCCAAGATGGCAGGCCCCAGGGCAAGTGGTGGGAGAGCACTGACCACATACCTGAGAAGGGGGGCTTGGGGCATGGGCAATGTGATGTGAAGAGGGAGACTTGGGCCAGGGCAAGCCACAGGTCCCGTGGACAAAGTACACACTGCGGTTGGGTTTTTAACCAATGGGGAGAGTCCATTCTGCCCCCTCACCCACCCCTCAAAACGCTGCTTCATCTCAGCCTCAGGTGTGCTTACTCCCCTGGACAGGGCCACTCTGCTCTGTGGGACACACCTGTCCTCAACCCAGGGGCAGCACAAGGGAAGTTCAGTTCCATGAAGCTGAGCCCACAGAGGCTGGCCCTTGTCAGCCTGTCCCTCGTCCTCCGCTGGTGGGACCCCGGGTGGGAGGGACTCAGCCCTGTCGGAGGACTCACGGCAGAAGCCACGTCCTGGCCCCAGACAAGTGACCTTGGCGGTTGGGTGGGCCCCAGCCTGCCACAACTGGGCCCTGCTCTTCACTGACCCTTTGAAGAGGACAAAGTTGAGCAAGTTGAAGTTCCTGGTGAGGAAGTTGCCGAGGATGTGGCTGGGGTAGCCGCACTTGATCTGGTAGGCGGACAGGCCGAAGTAGACGCACTTCACCAGGTACCAGATCTGAGCCACGCAGTTGAGGTTGAACCTCCTGCCCAGAAAAAAGCCAATGGTCCTGATGCTGACGGCCTCCTTGCCCCTCCCACCACCAGTCCCCCTCCCACCGGGCCAGGGAGGGGAGCCGCTCAGCCACCCATGGGGCTCCTCAAAGCCCAGGCGGAAGGGAGGGCTGTTATTTCAAGGATAATGGAAGTGGAGGGAGAAAGGAAAAGGAAGAAAGGTCCAGAAAAACACCTTTTTCCAAACACTGTGACTTGCGGGGGGCCTCTGGGGACGCCTGGGCCCCTTCGGCCTTCCTGAATAGGGAGGCTTTTTATCGGCCATCATTAAGCTTGGACAAAGGAACTGGCGCTGCTGCCGCCAAGCAGGTACTAAAACCTTGACCCTCTCCAGCCCTCTGCCGCCTGACTGCTGACGTCCGTCCGTCCATCCATCTGTCCGAGGGAGGTAGCCTCCCACCTTCTCGGTGGGGCCAAGTAGCCACCAGCTCCTCAGAGTGCGGCTGCATCCACTTCTGGCGGGGCCTCGAGAAGCTGGCCCAGCCGCAGCTGCAAACCTGCTTCTTGCAGAGAAGTTTGGGGGGGCTAGGCTCCTGCTGCTGTCACGGTCCCAGGCTCGGGGGCCACAGGGGCAGGCTCCCTTGTAGTCCCTCTGGTGCTGCTCGGCTGGGCCCTGGACATCTAGCCCCCTTGCCAGCAGGCCCGCCACCTGCTTCTTTTTGTAGGGAGAGAAAGAGATTTTCTGCTCCCGAAAAGATCGACGATCGTGGGAACCCGAGGGGCAGTTCCATTCTGTCCAGAGCGGAAGGGACGTACCTCTGCATGGACTCAGGGGTGATGAGTTTTGGTGTTGAGTCTGGGCCTAGTCAGGGCGGTCATCAGGGAGCCTGGCTGAGGGGAACCCTGTCCCTTCCACCCGGGCTCCAGGCTGCTTCACAGAGCCCTTGAGCGTCACCACTCTCCCTTTCTTTCTTTGGGGGGCGGGAGGGGGCGGGGCAGCAAGGAGGTGAGACTACCTCTCGGTGACTCTGGGCAGGATGAAGAAGAGCCAGAAATGGGTGCCCAGGACCAGAACCAACTGGAACACACACTTCCCGTACAAGCTCTTGCGCAGGTAGAGGGCGCGATCCACCACCATCGTGCCGAACTGGGTGAGTGCCATCACCAGGAAGGCCTGGGGCACCTGGTCCTCGGCCAGGGACTCCGCCAGGTCGGCAGCCGCGTACTTCTGCAGGGCCAGAGGTGCGCCTTAGAGCCCAGTGGCCTCCCACACCCAGGTCACATCCAGTCTCCAACTCCTTAAGCACACCAGGGACTCCCCCCTCCTCCTTCAGGGCCCTTCCACGCCCCAGCCTGAGCCTGGGCACCAAGCTTTCCCCTCCCTTGGACCTCACTGCTGGTGCCCCTACACGCGGGGCCACCCGTGTGTCCCCCAACTCCGGAGGATCTATGGCTGGCCCGACCCCTCTGCCTTGCTCTTGAAGGCCTCTCAGCTACCCCTCCCTCTCCTGCCCCAAAGTGGCCATTCCCTCACCCTCCAGGACCCTGGCTGGCCCTGGTCCTGTGCACGGACACCCTCCAGGGGACTGTGGCTCGGTCCATCTGATGTGGACAGGCACCCTGGAGGACGGCCAGCACTCCTGTGCATCTCAAACACCCAGACACGGGACAGGAACCGCTTCTAGCGGAGACCTGCTCCCACGGTGCCCACCTACCTCCCCCCAGGGCGCTGGTGGGAGTGAGAGCACACCCCTCCTCCGAGTCCCGCCCGGGTGCCTCACACTCAGGCCCTGGACAAACTCTCCGAGGAGGCTGGGAACCCTGGCAGAGAGGAGGTGGCGGCTGTAGGACCCTGGAGGGGCGCGTGCTGGGCTTGTTGAAGGACTTGTCCATTGTGGCATGGCCCCGGCCCCATTTGTACCCAGCTTTCACCTTAATTAGTAGGAGCTTTTCTCAGAAGCAATAAAACAACGGCCCAGCCCACTTGGACGAGCATGGAGGCAAGAGCCATTTCGGTAATGGAATCAGTGCGATTGCTATTCTGGGGAGAGAGAGAGAGAGAGACCACTCTCTGCTATTAAGAAAGCGGAGGCCAATCCTGCCCTGTCGGCTGCCTGGTTATTAAGGATAACTGATGGCCATTGGCACCCCCAACAACAGGGACCTCGCAGGTACGCGAAGCCAAGGCGCACTGGGCAATGATTCCCAGGAAAGCCAAGGTGCTGAGCTCGGCAGTCTGGGCAGAGGTGGCGGGCTAAGGACCTTACTTACCCCAAAGGCCCAGTACCCAAAGAGGACAATGGCGGAGTTGAGCACCTCTACCAGGAACGTGAGGGCATACGCATCACACACCGGGCTGGCCTCGGGGTGGGTGAGGCTGTAGAAGAACTGACGGATAGGGTGATAAACCTCGAGGGTCCTGTCGGGGAGATGGGGATACTGCAGGCCAGCCTCCCCAAGGGGGCCAGCAATTATCTTCCCCGTAGTTCCCATAGAAGCTTCTAGAAAAAGGTGATGGCTGTGACAGATGAAGGCGCTGAAGACAGCATACATGTTCATCGCCCACCCCACCCCCCAAACTCTAAAACACAGAGGGAACCAACCTTCAAGGGAAGGCCACCTGTCTGTCTCTCACACGTGAATTTCCCCCTCCCTGTGACCACACCGTAGAACTCTAAGCCCACCATAAACTCTCCAGGGTCTCACCTGAAGGCCAGTCAGAGGCACCCTGGAGAAGAGATTGCGGTGTTGGAAAGAGGACCAGATTCAAGCCCTATGGTTGGATACTACGCAAGTCACTCGATGCCAAATCTCAGCCTCCTCACCGCCAAGATGGGAGTGGTGAGCCAGGACCTGACTCCAGCCTGGGGTGGCTGTGAGAGGAAATTGTTGAGGTCCGTGTGGCCCAGTGCTGGGCATGAGAAAGGATGGTGTACCTACCTGAGTGTCCGAAATGTAGAGGGAATCTCAGCGGTGAGCAAGTGAGTGTCAGGTAGAGAGGTGGGAGCACAGACGGATGCGCGTGGAGATGGAGGGCTGTGTGAGTGGTTAGTGTATGGGTGCGTGGATGAACGGAAGGATAGGTAAGCGGATGGATGGATGGATGGATGGATGGATGGATGGATGGACAGGAAGATGAGGGTGGAATGGATGGATGGGTGGATGGATGGATGGGTGGATGGACAGGAAGATGAGGGTGGATGGATGTATGGATGGATGGATGGATGGATGGATGGATGGATGGATGGGTGGATGGATGGATTGATAGGAAGATGAGGATGGATGGATGGATGGGTGGATGATGGATGGCTAGACAGGAAGATGAGGGTGGATGGATGGATGGGTGGATAGACAGGAAGATGAGGGTGGATGGATGGATGGGTGGATAGACAGGAAGATGAGGGT